TAGCCATCTGAGGCCCACACTTGCTTCCCCCGACATGAACCCATTGCCCGGGCTCCTGTCGTCTGCAGCAAGGTGGGGGAAGCAGTGTGTGTAGCCATGTGAGGCCCACACTTGCTTCCGCTCGACAGGAACCCATTGCCCGGGTTCCTATCAGCTGCAGCCATTCGGGGGAAGCAGTGTGCGTAGCCATTTGAGGCTCAGACTTGCTTCCCCCCGACAGGAACCCATTGCCTGGGCTCCTGTCGGCTGCAGCAGGGCGGGGAGAGCAGTGTGTGTAGCCATGTAAGGCCCACACTTGCTTCCCCCCGACAGGAAACCATTGCCTGGGCTCCTGTCGGCTGCAGCAAGGCAGGGTAAGTACTGTGTGTAGCCATGTGAGGCCCACACTTGCTTCCCCCCAACAGGAACCCATTGCCCAGGCTCCTGTCGGCTGCAGCAAGGCGGGGGAAGCAGTGTGTGTAGCCATGTGAGGCCCACTCGTGCTCCCCCTCGACAGGAACCCATTGCCCAGGCTCCTGTCGGCTGCAGCAAGGCGGGGAGTGCAGTGTGTGCAGCCATGTGAGGCCCACACGTGCTTCCCGTCGACAGGAACGCATTGCCTAGGCTCCTGTCGGCTGCAGCAAGGCAGGGGAAGCAGTGTGTGCAGCCATGTGAGGCCCACACTTGCTTCCCCCCGACAGGAACCCATTGCTCGGGCTCCTGTCAGCTGCAGCAAGGAGGGGTAAGCAGAGTGTGTAGCCATGTGAGGCCCACACGTGCTCCCCCCCGACAGGAACCCATTGCCCGGGCTCTTGTCAGCTGCAGCAAGGCGGGGGGTGCATTGTGTGCAGCCATGTGAGGCCCACACGTGATTCCCGTCGACAGGAACGCATTGCCTAGGCTCCTGTCGGCTGCAGCAAGGCAGGGGAAGCAGTGTGTGCAGCCATGTGAGGCCCACACTTGCTTCCCCCCGACAGGAACCCATTGCTCGGGCTCCTGTCAGCTGCAGCAAGGAGGGGTAAGCAGAGTGTGTAGCCATGTGAGGCCCACACGTGCTCCCGCCCGACAGGAACCCATTGCCCGGGCTCTTGTCAGCTGCAGCAAGGCGGGGGGTGCATTGTGTGTAGCCATGTGAGGCCCACACGTGCTCCCTCCCGACAGGAACCTATTGCCCGAGCTCCTGGCGACTGCAGCAAGGGGGGGGGTGCAGTGTGTGTCGTCAACGGATTCAATGGGCTCTTGTCGGCTTGGGTGGGGGTAAGGGGGGGTGGAGGTCGAGAAACATGTGTCATGGCAAGTAGTGTACATGTGTGTGTTATGCATTGTAGGACATTGGCTACGAAATCAGCAAGAATACCATTGTTGCATACAAAGCACAGCATAACACACGGGTTTGTCTGCACACATATGGACTACCCTAAAGGTCCTCTCCTCGCACTGAGGGCACGGAGGGCCCCCAGTCTTAGGAGGACCAGGGGAACACCATTTTTCCGTCCTCGCTACTCTCAGTTGGCGACCCACCTTTGAACCTCGCCATCGCGAGCATCCGGGCACGTGGGAGGTCAGTGAAGTACGTCTTTACAGCGACGCGTTCCTACACGAAAACAAGGAGACGCTGTGCCAAGATGCGCTGCTCGAGCGTCGGCACGATGATCCTGGGTGAAAGTTGTATAGTCGGCATGCACAGCGGATCTAAGTCAGGTACCGCTTTGTCAGTCGATGGATCAGCGAGGGAGTGTAAGTACTCTCACAAGCATCGCAGATCTACGCGCAGCAAGGAATCCCCGCCGCCACCTCCACACACAAAAGGTTGGGGCTCCGTGCTGCCAGCCTCATTCGCAAGGTTGGCAGGGGCTTCGCCGGCATCGGTAAGCCCAACATCCGAGTCCACCGTCTCTTTGCAAACCCTACCTCACCAACCAATCAAGGATGTTTGTGGAAGGTCTAGGATATCCTACACGACGGCCGGCCCTGTACATCGTCCTAAGGTTAGGTATTGTGGCTAAGAAGGTGTGTAAGTACGCAGGCTACTAATGGGTCGACGTTTTGAGGGATCGGGTTGAGTGATGTGCGATGTGTTGAATTCGACGAGAAACAGGCGTGGCGGGACGAACTGACGACGCGCGCCAGAATATCTAACGATGTCCAACCCGCGTTCGGGACACCATGCTGCGCTATGTGCTTGTGCTGAGATTTCATTTGAGTCTAGCAGCAGACACGTATTGGTTGGGCTGGATCCATCCAATGCATTCTTCAGTAACATTGGCCACGTGTTCCACCATACTTCAGCAGGGCGGGATTGCCAAAGGTAATGCATGCTGAGTTGGATACTGTACCTTGCTGATCCTCGAGCCATCCCTTGTTTTTTTTAGTCCTGCCTCACTTTTGTTATACGACGTTGCCCATATTAACAATCGCACGCTCTTACACTCGGTCGCCCTCACTTGAAAAGTGTCGAGTACACCATTGTTCGCTACTTTTAATATTTTGTCTCTGCCCTATTTTGCAAGCTTTCATGTCCTTCGCATGCTCGAATCTTCTTGCCATGCCTGTCGCTGACGCCCCGGCTGTGGAGTTCGATGATGTGTCATGCTTTGGCAAGGCACCACGTGCCGAACCACTCCCCAAACCAACGAGGGAGCATGCCTTTGAAGCCGCTTTGTCGAAGGGTTGTATGCTCTCGCTCAATCTGGTTGGACTGTCATCGACGGCCAACAACGACCACGTACCTTTTGTATCCGACGGTCGACGTGACGTCCTACAAGGTCCTTCATGTGCCAGTCCTTCTGCTTGCCGAGGGATAACTATCGCCCTGCTAACCTGTTCCCGTTAGTTTTGTTCTTGTTGAAACCCTACCTAGGTAGGGCACTGTGCGACATGTCAACGGTCTCAGCGGCCATCAACTTGACGTCTCTTCTACCGGCGTCAGCGATGTCAAGGTTGACGTCGGCCGGCGAGCCAGAATTGACGCCCCCTCTCCCATTCCCTAAGAACATCATATTTCCCAGAGCAGCATACACGGTGTGCGAGCATGAGCGGTGCATGCTGGACCATGAAAAGCCAGAGCTGGATGAGACGATACTAGATCTACGAGTTATGTGAGTATTGCGTGTCGGCGATACTCGCTTCTGATCTCGAAGCTCGTCATCAAACTCACATACCGCGCTTTTGTTGAACAGGTTCACCAACAAGAAGAACAGACGTGATCTAGCGATACATGTCGTGCTGTCAAGGGTCGTGTCGGACGCCCTTTAGGGAGGGTTTCACAAGCTTTTCAACGGTATCATGGACGTCGAACTGGTCGCTGCTCCATTTTGGTCGCTGTAAGTGTCCATGACATGTATCGTGTCATGTTTTACCTAGCCCTCCTGATATGATAGCATCGTACAGTATGTCAACTTGTCTCTTTCCGCAGGTGTGGCCAACTGCCGGGAAAGCACTGCAGCATCGTGGTTCTGCTATACCCTGCCGACATATTGACGGCCCAAGAAAGGAAGCGGCGCACACGTTTCATCCACATTGACCCAAAGCCCGCACTCGGATTCCACAGTCGCCAAGTGAACGTGGTGGTCGAGTAAGTGTCGGCTTTGGACCGTATGCCTGATGGACTCGCAACTACCGAATGGACCCGCATGTCTGACTGTGGATTCCATTGTGCAGGTGGTTGACGTCTTCCATCGGCAACGCGCTAACTGTGCGGCGTCTCGATGCGCGGTCAACGTCGAGGCATGTCCCGTTGCCAACGGAAAAGAAGCTGGTGATGCGGCTTCGGGAGATTGCCATCCCAGACCAGCCGGTGAGTCATGGCCCCACAGCGACCTCTTGATGCCTAAACCTCTCCATGCCAACACTAATGGCAAGTTGTGTGCATGTTGGTTGGAGATGGGGCTGCTGGCTGCCGAGGCGAGTGGCATCGGGATCTGCGCCATCCTCCTATGCAATCCCACCGGTTCACATGAGCAAGATGTCACGGTTCGTTGAACCCCTCGACGTATGAGCCATCAAATACGACAACCTTCTAAACTACCGCCACAACTTGGGGCTGTGGATCGATAGGCGAGGTGCATGTCGGGATGCGGCGTTACCTGGCTCGTCAACAGCCTGCTGCGATGTTGCCATTGTGGAGTCCGTGGTGGGTGCCGACCCGCGCATGAAGGTGTTAGTATTAAGGACAGAGTCTTGGTGAACTTAGGAGCTAGAATTACTGAAAATATAACTCCGAAATTCTGGATAGAAAGTCGTGCCCACAAGAAACGTTTCCGACAAACAAATAGCTTTTGGAATGTCGCGAAACTTGGATATGTTGTATCTTTTAATCTCAGCTATCATTCCCAATGTGAATCAGGATGATTGATGAAGTATTCGCGAAGCTATGCCTTTCGACGCACTGGGGGGTATGCTGTAGTAGAAGAACTTAACTCAATCTCATAAGTTCAATCATAGTCCAATAGTCTCACAAGGAATTAGATGAGCAAGAAAGAGGTTGGAAGGGAAGAGAGGGATGAGAGGGAAGTTCCCAAGAGAGTCCCCAACTAAGGAAACCCCATAAGCACAAAGATTCCCTCCCTATAGGAACCCTAACTTTGACCTTTGTCCCTTCCCAACCAATCCAACCAAGTTGGCCACACTTGCCAACCTAGTTCGGTTGTTCCCAACCAATTTGCAGCTGCTACAGTAGAGTGACGAATTTTCCCAACCCCCAATGGTCCCAACTTCATATTGAGTCACCCCACAGCTTCACTTAGTAAGTGCAGCAATTGTAACGCAAACTCATGAATTTTGAATCTTCATAGCTTTCACATTCTTGCTCCGATTGAAGCGATTCTTTCTCAAGATATATCATCACAAACACCTGCTCAAACAAAATAACACAAAAACACATTCCCAAAATCCAGAACACACCACGCATAAATGCTTGCACACATTCAAACCACACATGCAAATTGAAAACATGGGATGGGAGGCAGACAGAATGTGATAGCATATGATGACATCACACAACAGAAGGGTGTGGTCGAGCTTCGCACCAAGATTCAATTTCCGACCTACTGAAGAGGGGGAAGAATCGGGCGGCGTCCAAGAGCTTTAACCGTGCCCTCCAGAGGCAGCAGCTGATGCTTCTAGGCCACGACATTGTCGACGAAGTTGCATGTGAGGGGGGTACTGGGGATGGGGACGAGGACGAGGTGGTGGAGGTGGTAGATATGCATAAGAGAGCAGCAAGCACAGTCGCAGAGGACGGGGTGGCAGCGACGGCAGAGCAGACCGACGTTGGCATAGCAGAGATAGAGGAGGAGGTTGACACGGTGGAGGATGAGGAGGAGGATGGTGACGAGGAGGAGAATGGTGAGGAGGAGGAGGACGGTGAGGAGGAGGAGGAGAACGATGACCAAGAGGAGGATGGTGACGAGGAGGAGGCTGATGAGGATACGACATCGGCGGACAAGTGGGGTGGGCACGAGGAGAGTGACGGCAGCGACGGCGGGGGCAGATGCACGTGCAGGCTGTGGCAGGTGGCGTGGGGGAAGCAACAAACTCAGCGGCAGGGCAAAGGTTTAGAAAGGGGCACGGGTTGCGTAAGCGTGGAGATTCATACTCGGCTGAGGTCTAATGTACTTGGGTGGCACTACGAGGTATCTGGGGTCCAGCAAGAATGAGGAGGGCATCTGGTACGTCATTGCAATGGTGCAGGTGGTTTACGAGGTGAACCCTGACGCGACGGTCGATGTGCTATTAAAGCAGGCAACATCTTGGAAGGAGGACTGGAAGGTAGCACGGCTCATACCGACAGGACTCTGGACGACTATGAACGGCCATGCCCTCGCTGGCACATTGTACAGGTGTGTTGTAGCTATGCGTTGTTGCCGATGTCAGTAGCGTGAGCACGAACACGTGAGCGAACCTCAGAGTATGCTGACACTGCCCTCCTATGGTGTGCAGGTACAGTACATGGAGTTGATTACACGGTTCAGGGAGCTGATGGCGGTTAATGCGCCTTAGTAGCCATGGCGTGTAGGTGTCGGCCAGCGTGCGGCGCAGGCAGTCCAAGCACATCCTGCGGGGAAAGACATGGGGAGGTCGACACGACATTCGGTTAGGGTCACGAAGCACGGGGTCAAGCGGTCACTTCCAAGGGGGGCAGAATGGGCGGCATGGGGTGTACAGTACATCAACGACTAGTTGGGTAGATGTGAGGTTTGTCTGACAACTTACACGCCCTCGGTCGCCCAACGCTCGCGGACCATGTGGCGCACGAGCACCCTCGCCTTGGTGGCGTCGAAGAGCAGCTCGGTCGGCGGCACACCGAAGATGATGGCCTCCATGTTGCAGTGGACCGTCAGAGCCTTTAGCCGGTGCATCAACATCGCCACCGTGAGCTTCTTGTACGGTTGTGCGGTTGGTGCTCGTGCACGGCCCGTGCATCCAGCAATCCTCACGCGGCACCACTGCCCAATCCTCTCCGATGTAGTCTTTCAGCTCCCGCCCGACTTCGTCGATGAAGTGGATGATTGCATCCTCCGGCCATCTCTCTGTCAGCACACATGGTAGGTTTGCGGCGCACCACTGCTTGTACTCTTGTATGACCACCAGGTATTGCTTCCTTATCGTTGCCTCTTCAAGTAGCTCGAGAACCATCCTGGCGAGGACGATGCGCTGCTCCGGCGTGTCGATGCCCATCAGGGTGCGTAGGTCCAACGCAGGCTCGGTGGCAACATCGCAGGGGAGTCGCACAGTGCGCTCGTCGTCCTCCACTCCTTCGCCAAGGCCCTCCCCGTAGTTGTCCTCGACTTCCTGCTCGCAAGCAGTGCGAGCGCGCGCCATGCGGGCCGCCCTCGTGTTGTTGGGGCGGCCTTGACGCTCCGTGCCTCGGTCGTCGTCCGGAATCCCGGCCTCGCAAGATCGGGGCGGCTGCTGCCCCTCCTCCTCCTCCTCCTCCTCCTCCTCCTCCTCCTCCTCCTCCTCCTCCTCCTCCTCCTCCTCCTCCTCCTCCTCCTCCTCCTCCTCCTCCTCCTCCTCCTCCTCCTCCCCCTCCTCCTCCTCCTCGTCCTCGTCCTCCTCGTCCTCCTCGTCCTCCTCGTCCTCGTCGTCCTCCTCCTCCTCCTCCTCCTCGTCCTCGTCGTCCTCCTCCTCCTCCTCCTCCTCCTCCTCCTCCTCCTCCTCCTCCTCCTCCTCCTCCTCCTCCTCCTCCTCCTCCTCCTCCTCCTCCTCCTCCTCCTCCTCCTCCTCCTCCGACATGAGGTCGGGCATCTCTTCGTCCGCTGCCGCCAACGGTACATCAGGGTCTTGGGGGGAAATTACCGCAGCGTTCTGTCACGTAGGGAAACTAGAACTACGGGTGTTACGAACGACACTGTTCGTGGTGCTCTGGTGTGCGTGTGAAGGGACGCCGCGTTTTATACCACAGCCCAGTAGCAAGCTCGCTTGGCCCCCGTCCATTTGGGCTGTCGACAACCAAAGGAATGGGCCTGCTGCAGCGCAACGCCCAGTCCTGTTGACCTGAACTGGAGGGAAACCCCGCGTGTCGACGAGCTGTTGCACAGGTGGCGATGCGACACAAGAGGGTCGAATTTGACACTGCGTAATTTCGGGTGCATCATCTGGAGCCGCGAATTGCGAAGCGCGCGTCCGGGAATTGTGTTGTACATACTAGGCCCGCGGTGCTCTGCCTGCCAACATGTGTAGTACATGCAGCAACAAATTGGATTGGTAATCATGAAATGCTCTTTCTATTATATTGTGCATGACCGTTACAAGATGACGTTATGAAGAGTGGCCAATGTGCTTTTTCTTGCTTATCAAATGTTTGCCCCAGTTGTTCTTTCCATGTCGGTTGGGTTTATATTTTTATTTTTTAGAACACATTTAATGATGCATATGGTGTGCGCCACATTTTTTTGAACACGTTTTATTATTTATGTTGTACATTCTGTGTTCCAGCAGTTATGCGGATTTCGTCGCCGCAGCCGGTGACTCAACCGGTGCCCCCCCTTGGTCCACGGCTGTCGATCTTCTCGAGAGGCGCAATCTTGACACGTCGGGGGGTCGTCGTGGCAAGGCCGAGCAGGCGCAGCATGCGACCAATGGGAGGCCGGTTCGATCGTGAATAGTTGGAGCCCAGCAGAGGGGAGGCTGAGCATCGGCGCGCGGAGCCCCCCCCATTTGATCAGACGGCCGAGATGTCCGATTACACCTAGGTTATTCCAAGGTTCTTCCGTTTTTGTGTGCTGCATTGGGATGCGTTGGTAGGTCCTAGGGATTGGTTTTTTGTGCGGGCCATTTTGCGTTGGCTTGCGTTGGTAGGCACGCGCGGCTGCGCCACGCGTGCCTGCCTTTCCCTTTGTCCGCTCACATATTTCATCCTGAAAACATGGGTGACCCATTTTCCCGTTCGGTTGACTTCGCAGGTGAGTTTCGCAACACATGGGCAGGGGAGTGTTGTGTGATGTCATCATATGCTATCACATTCTGTCTGCCTCCCATCCCTTGTTTCAATTCGCATGTATGGTTTGACTGTGTGTGAAAGAATTTGTGTGGTGTGTGTTCTGGAGTTTGGGAATGTGTTTTGTGTTATTCTTTCTGAGCAGGTATTTGTGATGATAGATCTTGAGAAGATCTTTCCGACGCAACAAGAATCGCTTCAATCGGAGCAAGAACGCGAAAGCTATGAAGACTCAAAGTTCATGAGCTTGCGTTACAATTGCGGCGGTTACAAAGTAAAGTTGTGGGGTGACTCTATATGGAGTTGGGACCTTTGGGGTTGGGGAAATTTGTCACTCTACTGTAACAGCTGGAAATTGGTTGGGAACAACCAAGCTAGGTTGGCAAGGGTGGCCAACTTGGATGGATTGGTTGGGAAGGGACAAATGTCAAAGTTGGGGTTCCTATAAGGGGGAATCTTTGTGCTTATGGGGTTTCCTTGGTTGGAGACTCTCTTAGGACCTTCCCTCTTGTCCCTCTCATCCTATCCCAACGTTTCTCTTGCTCCTCTAATTCCTTGTGAGATTCTTGAACCTTGATTGAACTTTTGAGATTGAGTTAAGTTCTCCTACAGCTTACCCCCCAGTGCGTCGAAAGAAATAGCGTTGCGAATACTCCATCAATCGACATGATTCAAACTGAGAACGGTAGCTAAGATTACAAGCTACAACATATCCGATTTTCGCGACATTCCAACTGCTAGTTTTTTGTCGACGTTGTTTCTTGTGAAGACAAATTTTCTGTCCATTATTTCGGATTTATATTTTGAGTAATTCTAGCTCCTAAGTTCACCTAGACTCCGTCCTTAATCCTAACAGGGAGTGTACGCTCAACTTCGGCTCAATTTGTTTTTGGTTGAGATTCGCAATGTCAGTGTCAATGTCCCCAGATTCCACTAGAAATTGAACCTCGAATTGATATTGGGCACGGATCGAGCCTAATGTGATCCGGCCTTAAGTGCCAATCCTGAAAAATCCATTTAAGGTCATTTTTCACCCTGTGAATTCAGTTTTGAATCATAGTGCAACCCTGATGATTCAGTAAATTGTTCGTGTACCAGACCTGAGTTGTCAGCATGCCTTCGGGGATAACCCTGATTCCTTGAATCTTGCAAATGCACATGCGCCACTGGGGCCGCCCTTGCTTTTTCCTCTAAAAAACATTTCGGCTAAGTCTTCAATGTTAGCGACAATCCTCTGAAACCCCCCGCGACTCTAAAAATTTGGTTAAGTCCTGAATGCTAGCAACAATCCTCCGAAACCCCCCCGCGGGTCTAAAATTTTGGCGAAGTCCTGAATACTATAAAGAATCCACCCAAAAGTCCCCGCTAATATGAAATTTTGGTTAAGTTATCAATGCTAGAGAGAATCCCCCCCCCCCCCCCCCCCAAACTAGAAAATCTTGGCTAAGTTCTCACTGCCAGAGACATTCCTCCGCAACCCCTACGCAACCCGGAAATTCCGGCTTAATCCTCTTCGAATTCGTGATGGCCAAGGTTACGTCGAATCAAAATCTCGTCAACGACTTCAGCTTAGGGAGGTGGCGACGAGGGTGGAGAAGCGTAAGGGCGTTGACGCAGTCATCTACGTGGTAGCCCTCTCATCGGCCTGTGCCATGGTGTGGTCGGTTTGGAGAGGTCAGTCGCTGCAGTCGACAGTAGCGGCGGGAGGTCGTGCGGCTACCGCTGCAGGCGCGGACGACATGACGCGCGCCGTTTGTGCCAACATCACACGCGCAGTCCTGGGGGTGTTGTTGACACGCGCTGTGGCATTGTGGCGTAATAATGAGGAGACCTACGCTGATGCCGTTTTGGAGGAGGCCCTGACGAGGGCGCAGAGGGGGAACCGGTAGCTGCAGAAGAAAGCTGCAGTCGAGCTGCTGGACACCTTTGGCTTATGGTGCGACTGCAACGTCACTCGTGATCCTGTGCTGCCGGGTGGCTACTACATGCCATACATGGGAAAGATGAAGGCCAAACAGCGGGCGCGCTCGGGGAAGCGTGACCCGTCGTAAGCGCATGGGCTTAGTCCTCCCAAGCGCCATGCCACTGCCATTGACTCTATGTACATAGTGTACCATAGATTGGTGGATGACCCCCTGTCCACCCTCTGTTTGTCTTGTGTGTTTCAATTCTTAGCATGGCTCACGTTTGGCTTGTAGGCCACAGTGCTTGATGTTGCCATATATCTTGCCCCTGTCTTCCGGGGTAGTATGTCATCAAAATCTACGCTCGATTTCTGTTTGATTTAGTTGGTCTTGCCTTGTAGTCATGCACGGTTTTGGTAACTCACGAATACACTATTTCAACATGTACAGTCGCAGTAGTACACATCGGCAAGAGATGTAGCTACCGTGCAAGTCGGAGAACACTTTGGTGCGCATGCCGAACTTGATGGGCATTAGGTTCGCGTCAACGCTGTCGCCCTTTGGGCCCTTCGGCAAGCCACGGACGTGACATCATCTTTGCACCTGGAACGTCGAGGTGGGCCGGCTCGAGGAAGGAACTAGCGGTTATAGACGAGTTCAGTCTGCAGACTATTTTGTCAACATGAAATACCCTCTACGTATTGCTCCTGCCTACGGGTCGGGCGTTACGCTAATGGAGGAGGACGACCTCCTTTCCCTCCTTGACGAACCCATGGACTTCACTTGGTGTGCCCTGGACCTAGGCCTACGGTGTGTTCTGGGCTGCATTCCCACCTCAGTTCCGTTTGGTTTGTCATACAAGCCCCATCTAACTATGTGCTTGGTGTTGACGATTTCAGATGGGTTAGTGAGTCGTCCGGCAGCCACTGATCGGCCTTAATCATATCCTCTGCGACGTCAAGCAAGCTGTCGGCAGCGCAGAGAATGTCTGCGCCCGGTCCTGGCATCATCCATGGCTTGTTTAAGGTCAACGCGATCGCCATCCCATTATGGCAAAGGGCAAGTCGTCACAAAATAGGTTGCCCTTGTATCTCGGGCGTTCGCCGACGCGTCGACAGCCTCAGGCCAGAGAACTATGTTCCCTGCAGGAACGACATTGGGAAAGACCACTGCAGCTTGTTAGTAATCTTGAAACCGACCGACCTAATACGCCCAGACAACATCGTGTGCCGCGCTCGATGCGTACACTTTGATCCATGGGGTTGCCGACAAGGCAACGGTGCCAGCGCCGCTAATGTTCTACAGTAAGCTGCCGTTTGTTGTATCTCAATGTTATTGCTGTTGCCATGCCCTACACGTGTGCTAGAAAACCTCACTTGTGCTGCTCGCGTGCCCACAGATGGCTCCGCAGTGCAGTCGGCCGACAAGTGGGGCTTGCGCGTCAATGCGCTCCTCGGCATGGTCAGTCGATGCCTCTGCCGTCGCCAGCTACACTCCTCCTTCGTCTCTGGCCTTTCCACAACCCAGACGACGGTGTGAGAAAATTGTGGACTCAGAGTGCTGACAAGCAATGCCCTTATGTGCAGGTTGTGCGGCGGCTGGAGTATCCACATCGGTTTTTTGGTCCCTTGTGCGTGTGGAGCTGGAGAGCTGTCCTGTACAACCTGAAAGAGTATGCCGACTCCACAATCCATGGGTCGACGACGCAACCGAAGCATGCCAATTGCCAGCGGCTGGCGTCGTCCATCTGGCGGCACACCGTGGTGCATGCACATCGTGCTGCCTACTGTCGACTTCGGGTGCAAGGCATGTTGGACACCCTTACCGACATCCCTGCAGATCTGCCTGACGAAGGCATGGAGAGTGGTGTTGACGACATTGATGACCTGGGAGATAACAACACCCCCCGATTGTCGACTACTCAGCGGCAACAGCGTTTGAAAGCAGATGTTACTCGACTGGCCAAGTAGATAGTTGGCTTGAAGGCCGAGGTGCATCAACTTGAGATACAGGGAAAGGGACACCCTCCTAGTTTTTACGATACCTGCCAATGCATTGGCCACCTTATCTACATGTTCTGTGGTCGGGGGTCAGGGTATAGCTTGTCGGCTTTGTTGGTGTCCATTTGGAGAATGCTCTTGGTGTTTGCCTTTGCCGCCGTTGTCTGCATGCTTTGTAAGGACCGTTGAGCAGAGTCAAGTAGAGTGGTGTTTAGTTTAGCGGTGTTTTAACACGCTGTGTCATTAGAAGATATAGGACTACAGGCCAATCAACATGAAGCAAAAGAACCATCCCAAAGTCGACAAGGACTATGATTGTGACATCATCAAACCCCATGTCGTCGGAAAACAATGTCTTCCCTCACATGTTGTCAACAAACCCTTGTGCCACTAGGTGCCACACAACAGTCAGTTGCTCCTTGTCCCCCCGCTCAGTTCCGCCAAGCCCTTCCTCCCCAACTTGTCAGTCTCTAGAATGGGGCTCTCCACTTCCTCTCTAGCACTTGCAGACCGTCATAGAAGATCGCCGACTTGCACACTACCCTGATGCTGTCTAGCTTAGCTATCGCCGCATCAGTCTCCTCCTCAGTTGTGTCATTCCGCAGTTTAACAACTGCAGCCATCGTACTCCGCATTCTCCTCATCGAAAATGCCGCCCCCTCCACCGAAGCCTTCTTGCCTTCCCTCGTCACCACATTCTGGCTTTGCCTATATGAGAACCCCGGCTCCCCGTCAAAAGCCTCCCTAAGCCACCTCCCATCCCCTGGTGAAGGACTGTTCTAGTGCTGCCACGCCTAAGCTAAGGTCACACTACTATGCCACGATGCACCACCGCTATCTCGTACTGCATGTCGGCATTCCTCCTTGCCGCCTCCTCCTCCCGCTGCTTCTCCTCCCGCTTCCTCCGCTCCACTTCAGCTGGTGTGTCTAGGACTGCCGTCATTCTCCCCTGCCTTCCCACCACCATCTCCACCCGCAGTGCCTCCATCTGTCTCTGCAGTTCCTGAATACATCTGTCCTTCTCTC